CACATTTTAGCATCTATCACCCGTTTCACCTATTCTTAACAAAAATCATTTTTTGCCATCACTAAATCATGTTTCTTAATACAAACTTCTTCAGAAATTATAACTTTTTCTCTTCTACAAATTGCACATTTTCCTTCACTTATTTATTTATTTTTTTTTTTGTTTTTTTGCTTTTGCAAACTTTTCTTCGATTGTTTATTTTAAATTTCATTTTCTTTTCCATATTCACAAGCTTTTCATCCATTTTTTCCCCAAAAATATATATTCCTTTAAAACTTCTAATTTCAATTACAATTTATTCCGGATCAAAAAAAAAAAATTACAATTTATTCATAAAATTTTGAGAAATAATTTCATTTTTCTTCTACACTTGATTTCAATATTTTATACATTCCACATACTTTGAAACTTCTTCTCTACAAGGAAAAAAAAAGTGATCATTTTTAGAAACTACTTTTGGCGATGAATTTAATGTTTTGTAAGTCGAAAGCACAATTTCTATGACACAAGTATCATCTTAGTCGGTAAAAGTTAGAGTTTTAGCGACGTCATTCCCAATCTGTCATTATATAGTTAAAGCATTTATTAGGTGACTAAGGGAGAAGGCGCGTTCCAAAAATGTATTCGTTTTAGTGGCAACCTTGTAGTTTTGGCAACAACGACTTTGTGTTAATGAATTCATTTTTCTTCTACACTTGATTTCGATATTTTATACATTCCACATACTTTGAAACTTCTTCTCTACAAGGAAAAAAAAAGTGATCATTTTTAGAAACTACTTTTGGCGATGAATTTAATGTTTTGTAAGTCGAAAGCACAATTTCTATGACACAAGTATCATCTTCGTCGGTAAAAGTTAGAGTTTTAGCGACGTGATTCCCAATCTGTCATTATATAGTTAAAGCATTTATTAGGTGCCAAAGGGAGAAGGCGCGTACCAAAAATGTATTCGTTTTAGTGGCAACCTTGTAGTTTTGGCAACAACGACTTTGTGTTTGCAAAGATCTCTCCCTCCATATTATATTTTGGATGTAATTTCAAATTTCTTTATTATATTTTTAAATCATGATATTGTTTCTTTGAATGCTTCTCTCATGTGGAATGCATGTTTGGTGTTCTAGAAATTCCGTGCTTCACTTTGAATTGGTTATTTACAACGTGTGGTTGGCCTTTGAGTTAATTTGTTGGGTTTTGAATAAATTACTAGTTGAATTGATTCTTCACATGACTTCTTATTTGATAATAACTATTTCAATGACATATCATTGTTGATTGAGATACAATGATGATCTTCAGGGCCGGCCCTAAAGATGAAGATTCAGGGGCACAAAGCAAAGTGTTAATTTGGGGTCCTATATTTCTACACATCACTTAAAAAGATAAAATCAATTTAAAATAGTTATTAGAAAATTTTAAAAAGATAAAATCTGCTGTATTGTTATTGTTTTATATTTTAACCATTTACACAAGCAAAATTTTAGTACACAAAAATCTAAAGTAAAAAAAAAAAAAAAATTGAACACAATATCACATAAACATTACTATTTGTACATTTCTAATTGTAAAACTGAACCAAGAGCTCAAAGGAGTTTATTTTTGGCTGTGATCATAATAGTGAGCCTAGCTAATTATTGAGATTTGTTGTTTATTGCTTGTTGGGGTTGTTTGTTTTCGCTTTCTTTTTTTTCTGTTGGTACTCACCAACTCTCTTGGCTTGAGCTTTCAGATGATTAGACACTTTTCTTGATATCAATCTAGTTGAGATTAGGAAGTTATACTATGATAATTTTTACTCTTGTAATTCCATATGTACTATATGTTGATTTCATCAATAAAATTTTCTTCTTTTGCTAATAAAAAAAGAAAAAAGAAAAAAATTGAACCAAGAGCTTTTGGTTAAGATTCAATTAATTCTTCAATACTTTCTAGGAAGTATGATTAAATAAATAATTCATTCTATAATTCAATAAGCAACAGTTAATTCAATTATAGAGATGTCAATTTTTAAGTAAATATAACAAACAATTGAAGTAGAACTTGAAATTATACCAAATCAGAAATCATCTAGAGAAAATATTTAGACCAAAAAAGTTCAATATCAATATGGTAAATTGGGTTGGAGAGAAGTTTGATAAAGTGAAATCAATTACTTAGAGTCCTCCAATATTAAAAATAGTGTTGTTTTTGGGTTTGGTATTAAGAGCGGGACGTAATTGGGTTTTGATAAGTTAAAATTTGAGTTCAGTGTTAATGGTTTAGAGTTAAGTGAGTTTTAATAAGTTAACAATCAAAATAATTGAGACCTTTCATTTAATTGAGGCCTTAAAAAAAAAAAAAATTGCTCAATATTATAAGGATTTTTTTCTACATGTGGCCTATATTCTAGCTCAAATTGGGAGTCCAACGCGGTGGCTTTGCCAACTTTTTTTTTTTTTTTCATCAGCAAAGTAAAAATTTCATTAAACATATAAAATTAAAGGTACAAAAAGATAAAATACATCGAAAGAGATTCAAAAAGTACAATCCATCCCTACTACTACTCACATCCACACAACTTACCCCCATAGCGAGCCTTCTTATTGGTATATATGGGCACATAGGAGCTCTGCACACACTCTCTCTATATGTTGTGATTATCCATTGATATCCATACTTAAATTAGTCTATTTTTTTTGTGCGCGGCGACTTTGCTTGGTTGAGATGGATGAACTTTTCACATAGAATTTGTTAAAGTATCCAACTCAAAACGAATTGATATTGAGTGGAAAGACTCTTGTATTATATTAATTAAGCTTAGATAGTTTAGATTGTCGATGTGGGTCTTAGTCTAACACTCCCCTTCACGTGCTACCCGATAGCACGTGGAGGTGATTGAAATGTCCGATTGCGAGATAGACCATCTATACCACATGATGTAAGATGCTACCCAAGACTCAGCTTTGATACTACGTTAAAACATTCAACTTAAAACCAATTGGCAATAAGTAAAATGACTCTTGCATTATATTAATTAACCAAGTTTGAATAGTTTAGATTGGCGATACAAATTTAAATCTAACAGAATTAAAGAAAGTTGAAGCAATATCAAATAGGATTGCATTCCAAATAGCCCTTCTTAGAAGTTTTTCAAAGTTAATATGTTCTTTAGATAAGCCTGTAGTTATATGCTCCTTTGTTGACTGTGATGTGTCATGCAACAATAATATTAACAAGCTCCACATCAAGCTTTTTGCTAACAATAATAAAAAGACCAAAACTTGTTTACCCACTAACCATTAATCCAAGAAATTAATTAGTGGTGTTGGGATACTATCATTTCAATAGTATGAGAATACATAACTACTTTGTCCTTAACTTTCAAATGATATGGTTACTTTTAAAATAAGACAAAAGTAACTTGTTGAAACTAAGGAAATAAACATGGGACTTTTAGTTTGAAAAATAAGATCAAACGTGTGTTTTTTAAGCACTTAAGCTTGGAATAGGTATTTGAAGGGAAAAATCATGAAATATCTATAAAAATGCCTTTGAATTGGTATGAATATCTTAATTAGGATAGAAGTAACTTTTAAAAACTAACAGAACAAGTATGAAACTTCAAGTTTGAAAATTAAACTCAAACTTGTATCTTTTGAACACCTGGGCTTGGAAACATGCGTTTCATGGGAAAAATAGTGCAATGTCCATGAAAATGTCTATGAATTGGTATGAACACCTTACTATGGATAAAAGTAACATGTAAAAATTAATGGAACAAGCATGACAGTCCTGGTTTGAAAAATAAGCTCAAATTTGCATTTTTTTTTTTTTTTGGTCTTGTTTTGTTTTGTTTTGTTTTTTTTTTAAAACATTTAGGCTTAAAAATTAAGTGTTCGAGTGACAAAATGTGAAATCTCCACGAAAATGCTTCAGAGTTAGTGTGAACACCTTAACAAGGATAAAAGTAACTTTTAAACTCAAACAAAAAAAAATAATAATAAGACTCTTGATTTCAAAATTAAGCTCGAACTTGTGTTTTTTTGAACACTTAAGCTAGACAAATAAACTTTCGAAGGGAAAATTATGAAATATCCATGAAATTCCCTTGAAATTGGTGCGAACACTTTAGTAAGAACAAGTAACTTGTAGAAGCTAGTGGAATAAGCACAGGTGATGTAGAATAAATAGCTGAGGAATTTTTGGAACAACTGACGCAGTAAAAATTGATGAAGAAGTCAAATTGAGGGTAATTGACATCCTCGGTGATGATGCATAGTGGATTTTAGCAAAAATTTTTCTTTTAGGGCTTGAAATTAGTAATTTACCGTTTTAGAAGAGTTTCTTCTTAGCAATAACTTTATTTTGAGAAATTTGTTTTTTGTTCAGTTTGTTTTGGCGCGTTTCCAATATATCCTAGCATTTAGATTTGGGCCCAAATTTTAAATTTTTGGTAATTTTTTATTTATTTTCGTGCCTAGAAAAGAATTAGCCTAATTCCTTGTTTCATTGTTTGGATAGGGTTTCATTTATTATAAATAATAATGTATGCCTTGGGAAAATAAATTTTTATTTAATATAACTCAATTTCTCTGTGAGAATTCATTATTTTTTGTGGATTCAATGTGTTTTGTATCTACTAGAACGTTATCTAATCTCACGTGATACATTCCGCTGCTTCAACATGACTTCTAGTTTGAAAATTAAGTTCAAATATGTATTTTTTTTTAACACTTAGGCTTCAAAATAAGGGTTCAGCAAGAAAAATTGTAAAATATCCATAGAAATACCCAATAATTTGTATGAATACCATAGTAAGGACAAAATTAACTTGTAGAAGTTAATGGAACAAATATGTGACTGCGGTTTGAAATTTAAGCTCAAACTTGCTCGTTTGAACATTTGATATGTTAAAATGAAATAAATCTAAGGAATTCATTTAACTTCAACAATATTATTGTATAATAGTTTGGAGTTCATGCATTTGATAAGATACTTATGTTTTTATCTTTTTGTTGACATAGATTGGTGATGGACATTCGTGATTCAGCATGATGTGGTCATTGAAGATAAAAGTTTATGGTCATTCGGTGTGTTGTTCTTGTTGGACATTCAGATAAATTTTGAAGTTGTTATATTTGGGATTGGTGACATTTTGGAATTGTTATGTTTGGGATGGTTGGATATTTAAAAATATTTTGGAATTGTCATGTTTGGGATGGTTGGATATTTAAAAATGTTTTGGAATTGTTATGTTTTGGATTGTTTGATATTTGAATACATTTACAATTGTTTGATATTTGGATGCATTTGGGATTATGTCTCATTTGGGTTGGATAGTATGTTATATATGGATTTGTATGTATGTTTTATGAAAGTGTTCAAACAAGATACAGGTTACTGGGTCAAACAAGTGTCAGGGTGGTATCCTATAGAAAAAATTATTGTTCATATATATATGCCAATGGTTTTGGCATTTTTGGCGACTCAATTAGTTGTCGGTGAAAAAAATTCTATAAGATATAAAGAATAAAATTCATTTTATCCCTTCTGATTTGAAAGCAAAACACATTAAGTAAAAATGGTTCAAATATGATGATTATGTGACATTTTTGCTTACATCTTGTATCGACAAAAAATAAACTTTTAACAACCTAATATGAGTCAGAAAAGTAGGCTTTTGGTGACATTCAAGTAAGTCGGGAAATGTGTCTGTTTACTGTATAAGGTGGTTGGCACGGTCATAATGTGCGTTTGATTCTCCTACAGGCCGGACCTAACCCTTGACAAAGTCTAAAGTAAAATTTTAATAGAATTTCTTTCATACTTAAAAAAAATTTATATGCAATTTATGTTTCCAATATTGAAAATATATTTTGGTAGTTTACTAAGACACTTCATTTTTACCTGGGTCTTTGTTTGAGTAAATGTTTTGTGGACCTTTTGAAAATTGGAAAAAAAATTTAAGAAATATATTCAATAAGTCCTATTTTTCAATAAATAAAAAAAATTATTAAGCTCTATTAACATATGAATCAACCCTTTCAACATAAGATTCATATGTTAATTCATGTGTTGAGATGGTTGATTCATTTGAAAAATGGTACACACTAATCTTTCTCCTTTTTTTGGACTTTACGATTATGGCCTTTATTCATTTTTTTTTCTTTCACAAATATATTTATTATGAGCCCTCGGATAAAAAATATGTTTTCAATTTTTATAACCGGGAATATTTGACAATGTGATTTTTTTAATTTTTTATTTCATGATGAAATTTTGTTTTCAGAATTTTAAATAAAATTTATCTTTTAAGTCCTCAACAGTATTAATGTGTCAAGTCCAAAAAAAAAAAAATCTACATGAACTAAAAGTATCAACTGAATGAAAAAAAAAATTAAAATAATAATTCACAAGTTAAACCTAATAAAACTAATCTTAATGAAATTATTCATTAGAAGATTTGCTGTCAACTCAATTTTGTTTTCTTAATTTATAAAAATTATATCCTATTGTTATTTCTTGAGTTAATTACCTAAAAGTCTTATTTACAAATGTTATGGTGACTCAGGTCTTATTTAAGATTTTTTGAACCAATAAATCATATTTAGTAAAATTGATAATATTATTAGTTTTTCACAATTTTTAAAATTAAGAACATTTTCAATTTTGCATAGTAATGTTCTAAATAATTGTTTCACTAACTGATAAAAAAACAAAGCATAGATTAAACGTTTTTGCCCTTCTACTTATTGGTTTGGTTGAACTATCCAATAAAACCGAAAACATTATCAGTTTTTTTTTCATTTTTAAAATTGAGAACATTATCAGTTTTTTCATTTTTAAAGTTTTATTTATTTATTTTTTTAGTCTTACATATCAATGTTTCATCATCATGCTCTTTTATAGATACAAAATTTTTAGTTTGCACACAAAAAGAATTCAATTTTTTCAATTTTTTTTGCACATAATTTTTTTTTTTAGTTTTTAGTTTTTAGTTTTTAGTTTTTTTCAATTTGAAAGTTGATATTTTAAAGTTTTGAAAATCAAAATAAATATCAAATCATCATGGTCCTTTATAGATAATCATAAATGATGAACAATTATTGTTTGAAAAATAATTCCAACTATTAAAAATTTAATACGACTTGAAGGTCCAAAAAATCTTAGTTATGACTTAATAAAGTATAAGTTCATAAATTAGGATTTATGTGTAAATGTCTATTATGTCTTTTACTAGATTAACTCAAATAGTAGACAAAAAATACATAATGTTCAATTAAAAACAAAACCAAAACCAAAACCATATACTTGTCTTTTAAAATTCTATGAAAAAGGTTTGACAACCCTAAAAACTTTTCACAATTTGATCCACAATGATGTGGTATAATAAGTATCAACATTTGTCATACATTCAACCATGTAAGATGTAGCTCCTTACCATATCATTGTCAATAAATTTAAATGTCTAAATTGAGAGTCTCTAATATTTTTCAAATATTATTTTACATACTTTTTAATAAATTTGATAAAATTATATACCGAAGAAAATGCCATCTTAAAATACTAAAATATATAAATAATTTTTCATTCAACAAATTATTCGTGTAAATTTAGTGTTCTGTGGGCTCAATAGTACCTTGACTTGTTTAACAATCGTATTATCAAATTATGTTATATTGTTGGCACCATAAAATAATAATAATAATATTATTATTATTATTGTAATTATTATTATTATTTTCAGGACACATGGCATCCTCTTATTCATTTAGAAGTTAAAAAAAGTTATAGAGATGATGGAGAACATGAATGACAAAGTGGATGAGTGGAAGGACACATGGCAAGATAAGGATGAAAATGGGCGAGATGTGTAATTACTAAGTAGTTATTGCTGTATTTTTTCCTCTATAAATAGCCATCAATGGCTACATTCTAAAGGATCCAAAACTCAAATCAAAGACAATTGATTTTTATTTTTCTTGTTATTTATATTTTCTATATTTTATTTTACGTGCTTCATTTTCGAAGCATTTATTTTCAGCATTTCCTTTTCAAAGCATTTTATGCACTTCCTTTTCAAAGCATAGCAGTAAAGGTAAGTAATTATTACTTTGATTGTTCACTCAATCAACTTTCTCCGTCTCCCTCTTTCTTCTTTTAATTTTTCTTTTCTCTACACTTGGCAATTTTGAAGTCCTCTTTGTTGAAGCAAAAGAACCGTCAACACAGTCGCTTGATAATTGGCATGAATTTAATCTGTAAAGATTTTTCAATCCTTGTTAGCATGCTCGCATTTATGATATTTTCTTTCGTAGGAAAAATAAGCCAACAATTTTGGCATGCCCGATGGGACGTCAAGTGTAAAAAATAAAAAATGAATTGGATTCGTCTATTCTAAATAGCTTAGATGAAATCTTTTGGCGTAAACAAAAAATTTTGAATCTTCAAGAAGAGATCTATTTTCTTGATGAAACAAACTTCCATCCATTACAATATTATTTGGGACACGATTTAATTGGAAAAATTCATGAACTTGATATGGGAATTTTCCAATGGAATGATAAGTTGTTAACTCTCACTATCAAGTCTTTAACTGAGGCTTTAATGGCCGGAATTGGTGAATTTTTTTCAGAATTTTTCCATGGTTGAAAATAGCAAAAGCAAAGAGTTGATTTCATCAATGGCTCGGAGGGGGGGGTTCAAGAGCCCATTTTTAAAGAGCCAAATTATGAAATTAATATAATGAAAGAGTATGTTCTTGAGCAAAATTTGGCTAAGAATGATGTTCTGTGCATGGCTTGAGGGGTCCAAAAACTAATTTTTATAAAGTTAAGTCATGGAAATAACATACCTATGGGGGATTTTCATAAGCTATTAATGTCTAACATGGAAAAACAACCCACTTTACCAAATAATTATGAAAGTGAATTCGGCGAAAGTCATGTTTTTAAACCAAACATGGTCAAGAATAATGAACAAGCCACTGCTCATGAATTTAAAATGTTTGACAATTTTCAAAGTATCAAAAAGTATGAATTTTCATGGTCACACTATACCATGACTTTTGTTGTTCAAAATCCATTTTGGATTTATGGTTCACATCAAAATTTGATTTTGATGGAGTGACTAATAAAAAATATTTTGTAATTACAATATATTGGGCCAAAAATATGCTTATTAATTGATCCATAAGACTCACCATTTGGTTTTATGGTTACCTTCAAAGCTTGTGTCACATTGCACGAAGCACAAAGTATGTGTTCGTTTTTATTGGTCTCAAGTTTATTGAATGAACTCTACAAATTTAAAAGACTTGGCCAAATGTGCTTGAATAATGGGGCCGCCATTCTTGGCTTCTGTCAACAAATATAATACTAAATGTGACCTTTTGTTTATCTCTCAGTTAATTGGTCAATTTTGGTGACAATCATTAATTCTTTCTGGGGAAGTCCAAGTGCTGAACTTTGTTAAGTCTTAGGGCAATATATGCATCATGTACGGTGATAGCAGAGAATACAATTAGCCATATCAGTTTCATATCCAAGTTGTGTAACCACCAGTTGCGTTACTTCAAATGATCAATGCAACTACTTCGAAGGTTCTATTCATCAACCATTGTTCGCTTCGAAGACCTCGCCTTTTCGCGCCCCCTTTCGGAAGGTTTGAAAAGAAGCCCTACAGTTCGGACTCCTGTGGTTTTGAATCTAATCTCACAAGTGCAATGTGAAACTGATAAACACCAAAGAGTCCAAATCCGACAAATCATTTTGGAAAATTGATTTTGAATCAAAAATCCCAAAATTGGACTGCTTTAATAGATACAGAGTCGCCACCTAAATATTTTATTTTTGGAAAAATTTAGGAAACCCATGACTCGTGCCAAAGGCCACGTGTCCGTCATCACCAAAGTTGCCTCGGCTTGGGAACTTAAGTAGGAGAGGGGAAGGTCATGAATTGAGCACCCCCACTCGCCCGATCAAAGATCAACCTCCACTAATCATGATATTATTTTTTATAAATAGTATGCGCTCTTGTTCCGGTCATTAAACTAGCTTTACTATGTGATGTGCACAAGCAAATATAGACTAGTTTGCTCAATTTGGAACAATTCAACTCATGTTTGTTTGCAAAAATAGTTTGAATTTGCCACCTCAAGTAGGCTTAAAGTTGCGAATTTGCCACTAAATATAGTGGGCTTAAAACATGATTTGCCACTCAACAAAGTGAGCTTAAAACGCACATTCGTTGAATTGTTCCAATCTAAACAATAAGCCTACATCCACAAGCATTCATGCA